TCCCAGGACACTAGGTATTTCAAACTTCAGATTGAAATCATGAAGCTATCCCCTCCAGCTAAAAAATAATTTTCTTTCATCTAAGTTGTATATGGCAACTTTTCAGTTAGTCCACAGTGTCTTTTCTTTTAAATAAGACTTTTATTTTTTCCATTTATGAAGATCTGACATGAGTGTAGAAACCAGCTGGCTGAGGAAGTTGGATTCCCCCAGAAGGTTTTTCAAAGTGACTTTAAGACTGTTGTTCCCAGACAAAGGACCTTAACATAATTAAAAAACATTTGTCAGTTAAGTATGCAGTAGGAAAAAATTAAAATAAACAATGGCATAATTTAAAAATAGTCAGGGAGGGGTAGACAGGAACCACAAGAGACATACTGATTTAGATCAGTGGTTTTCAGCCTGTAGCCTGCAGATCTCTGGTCTGGGAGCTACTTCTGAGGGGTCTGTGAGAGGAGATTAGGGGAAACATTCACATGTGTGTTTCAAAAAGGAGGAGACTACTGGGCTGGGGAGAAAATACCTGGAAGAGTGAGATATGAGTTAAAAATGTCCATTGCATGTCTTGGGAGAGCCACATGTGCACGCAGCAGAAACAGACCAGCCAGCAGCATGCTTATGCTTCGGCACTGCTGAGCCTGAGCGGGTAAGGCTGGAGCTATGCAAGGAGTGATGACAGTTGTAAGGGCTTTCTTGCGTGCCATGTTGTGCAAATGAAGCTGTGCTGCCCGGGGATCTGAGATGGTGTACCCATGCAGTGCTGTATCATGCTGTATGATCTTCTGTCTATCTTTTTGAAAATAATCTAGGGTTTTCTGCTTTCTGCATTATTTGTATGGTACAAATATGAAGATTGGAGGGGTCACCATCTTGATGACATTCACTTGAAGATGCAAACAATGTAGTCTTTATGGATGCACTTACGTTGAGGCATTCAAGGTAGTAGGTTTCCTCCTGCTTCAAGGCTTCAAAACCAACAAGATTGTTTTATAAGTAATGCCACTTTCTGGGCAAGTCACACAAGATGTCTGTCACATGAGATGTCAGAAGATGTTCCCATCTCCTCCTTGAGTTAGCCCCCCTTGAATTTTTTATTTCTCTTTCAGAATAGAAGAAATCTCTACAAACACCTGCTTTTCATAAATTTAATGTAACTTGTGTTGACATCCTCTCTTGTTCCTGTCAAACAGTCTTTTGTGAAACTGAGTTAAAGCTTTATAGGGAATTGAGTAGCTTCCTGTGAAGAAGGGAAAAGAGGAGTCTCCCGGTGTTTGAAATACATGACAGAATACACAACTGGGTTCTATGTGTAATCAGGCTTTCATCTATATTCTCATAAGAGTTGGAAAAAATTTTTGCAAAGAGTTTTTAAGGTAAGTTCTGAACTGGCATATTCTTTTGGTGATCAGAAATTAATTGTTACTTTAAATGTCTATGAAACAAGTCTCTAGTGACACTTTCAAAAGATTTTCTGTGACGCGGCCTGCCTCTAAACATGTTTCATAAGACTTAGAGCTGAGATGCTGCTGCCGCATAGGAACATGGGTTTTCGTTTTTTAAATGTTGTTTCATGTGAGCGTTCAGATTGTGTTCTAAAAGTAAATGCAGTAGGACTGAAAGGTCTGTTGGCAAAAATTTTATAATATACTGAGCAGCAAGTTCTTTATAAAAGGTCAGAGATCCTGAAGTTGCCATGTCTGTGGAGGAGAGGTTGGTTTTTAAAATAGCATGCACTGCAGAAACTCTTGGTAGAGGCAAATCTGTGGGAAAGCAGAGCCGTGTGTTAGGAGACGCTGGCAGAGGCCAAGTACAGGATGAGGCTCTGCAGCTGAAGCGGTGATGTAGCCAGCACTAGTGAGGATTGGCTTTGTGCTCAGAGCTCTGTAGGGCAGGTTGCTCTGAGTCTTGTTCAGACTTCAAATTGATCAATCAGAGCATAAAATTCCCTCAGAAGACAAACGGGAGTGCGGAAAGAATTCAGAGAAATTATAAAAGGCACCACATAGGCAAAGAGAAACTTCTGAGTATGTTTGTTTTGCCTGACCATGTGTAATAAATGGTATAACTCTTCATTGGGATCTGTGGCTCAAATGAATATGAATATCGTACTCCCATCATGCTGAGTTCTCCTTGTAGGGAACATTCTGTAAAACTAACTTATTCATCCCATTTCTGGATACTTTGTGTTTAAGAATTGCTGGGCTCATGGGAGAAGTTTGAAGGCAAAAGTTTGGTGTGGGAGACAAACGGAAGGACATTTTCCAGGTTTGTGTCAGAGCACTAGTTCCTACCACCTGTTTATAGATAAATTCTGAATTCTTCCCACTGCATATCAGACAAAATATCAACAGCAGAATGAAAGATGCTCGGTAAAGGTTAATTGTCATCAAATTGTTGATTCAAAATAATGCCTTGACTGTGGTGGAAATGAGTGTTTGGTTCCTTGCAATACCATTACTGTGCTCACTTTAAACATGTATCATTATGGTTTTTGTTTTCAAGAATCCATAAAACTTGTTTAGATGATTGGTGCCAACCTGTGTTCTCTTTGTTTTCTTGAAAGAGATTTTATCTGGATTCAGGACAGTTTTAGACAAGGCTTTTATTTTTGAGGTTGGCCAAAGTACGGGAGAGCTGATGGATATTGTAAAATCTTAATAGTGATTATTTAAAGCATTTTGATCCCATTCTGACTTAACTGAAATAGGGAGGGTTACTCAGGAAGGTTAATTCTGAATGAGAGCATAATCAGGTCTTACATTCTTGAGACTTATTTTTATTATGGCTGTTACTGTTTGATGATGAATGAATATAGTGTACTGTAGAACTCAACAAATCCTTCCCCTAAGATTTTTAGGAACTCTGGAGCTTTGGAAAGTATTTTCTAATGTAGAAGAAAGTTTTCTGTGAGGAAGTGCAGAATAATGTTTTGTTTTTAAAGGAAAACAAAGTTAATTTATTTTTTCTCTATTACCCTTTCTACAGCTGTGTTTTGTTTTCTTCCACTCAGAGATGTGTATGTTTCTTTGAAGAGGTGTGAATGCTGAATATGGCAACTTAAACAAATGGTGTGTGTGATGTTTAGCAGCTACTATTGTTGGCATCTCTGGAAACCAAACTAGTTGTATAGAAGACTAAATGTAAGCATGTAACTTTGCAAATGCTTGGGAGACATGGTATTTATACATGACTTTCCTGTTTCCTCTATAACTTCATATACCTGGCTAATAAACCCTGTATTGAGATTCTGCTGTAGCCTTCATCAGGGATTGCAATGAATTAAATTCCAATACAAACTTAATTTTTCAAGTTCTCACAATGTCTTAAGTTCCCATATTCAGATATTTTGGCATTAGCCATGAATGTTTGTATCTCCATTTTAATGTTTACGGATATGAATAATTTCACTTTTAGTTTGCTATACTCTTTGCAGGTCCAAATACTGCACAAGGAGGAAGTTTACATGTGATTTTAAATAGTATTAAGTTCCCTCTTCAAAATAAAATCAATATTGAAATAAGAATCTGGACGTCTAAAACCTTGACAGAAAAGAGATTCTATTTTAGATGGGTAAATCCACTCCATTTTTATATTCCATTCCTCTGTATCTATGGAGAGAATACATATTCAGAATCCATACAGACAATGTTTGAAGTTATACCTACCCAGTGGTACTCAAATAAACAAAATTGTTTATTTTGCTGTTTGATTTTCCTTAGTAAATTTATGTTCTGTTTCTCACTTAAATTATTTGTCCTCAACTCTAGAGCTGTAACGACTAATGGTAAGCTGCAGAGCTTTTTAAAGTGCTTTAAAGGTATTTTTTTACCTGTTGCAATGCTTTTGTATTAGAAATCAAAATCTTAGCTAACTTCTTTTCAAGAGACTCTTCTGAAAGGAGTATGACAAATTCCCAGCCAGGTGAATGGCCACTTCCAACCACCAGGTTAGCAGACACAGGGTCAGACTGGATAAGAGTTTGAAAGGATTTTTTCTTAGTTTAGGTGGGGGCTAAGGTGGAATGGAGTTTAAGCACAGACTGAGCATCTGCTTTGTCCTACGGTGAAGCATGGAAAAGCTGACTGTCACATTCATGTTGTCACTGCCTGATTTTTTGCAAGAATCCTTTAACTGACAAAATTAGGGGAAAGGACAGAAGCATTAGAAAGAAAGATGAGTATTTATGATGTCTGTAAGTTTTGAGGAAGAAGAAAAAATTGCCTTTTCAGAAAATTGAAAGTGACAGGCTCTGACTTTATTATCTTTAGTATGTCAGAAAGCAGCGAAGGTTGCAGGATCAGTTTTCTCATGGACTAAATTTAAGACTGATGAATGGCTAGATCTACCAAGTCCTTGTCACATTTCTAGGCTTCTCATTTTGCTATTTCTTCAGCATTCAAGCAGTCCTCAGTCTTACCTGATCTCTGTTCACTCTCTTTCCTTACTACCCTGTGGTTCAGAAAGCATTCCCTGTTGTATAGTTTTCTTTTCTCCACGTTTTGCTTCTCCTAGTCCTGTTCCGTAACAGCATATCGAGAGCTTGGGTAGAAATTTAAATTTCGATTCAATATTTTAATGAACATTAGTACAGTAATTTTTTTTTTTTCCCCAGTTTTAAAGTTTAGGCCTGCTGTAGCAGCGTATAACATCTTCACAAAAGTATGCTTATTTCTGTCCCTGCAAATGTTGACTTGCAGTGGCATTTGTAATTCCATTATCTAGTAGGAAGCAAATTGTAGAAGTTGTTTATAGCAACATCTACTTTTTGCTTTAAGTTCTCTTTTTCAGTAAAAGGTAGCATAAGTATCATTTGTCACTCAACCCCATATTTAGGAAGAGCAGAAAAAGGAGGAAAATATTGTTGCATGCAATCTACAGTTTGTTCTAACCTGTGGAGGAAAACAGTATTATACATTACCTATGGTTTGTGTTAACCTTTATTATCACACTAGCTATTTAGATTTTTTTTTTTTAACTGATAATGCTCATCCTTGTTACAGGCAGATGCAACGGAAGCCAGAAGCACCCGCAGTCACTTATGCAACGTATCGAGGTTCTGCACGGATTAGGCAACTACTGAAGAATCAATCAGAAATGGCTAAAAAAGAAGAAGAAAGTACTGAGAACAGAAATGATTCGGTGATCAAACAAAATGGAGAAATCCAAACAACTGTCTCTCCAAAATCAAGACACTTAATAAAAGAAAATGGAGAAGATCAGGGTAAAGATCATGAAGATGATGTCACAGTAAATTCTTCTGCAGTTAAAATGGGAATGAAAAAGGCTGGTAAAGCTCAACATTGCTTGGGTAGCAGTAAACATGAAATAACTGTAAAGACCACAACATCATTTGCTGATTTATCTTGTGAGGTAGAGTTAAAACATATGCCTGCTTTAGCTGCAACAAAAGTTAAAAGGACGTGTTCACTAGATTCATTACTATTATCTAGAAGTAGAAATAGTGAGATCTTAACCAATTCCACTTCCCAGATTACCCATTCCCTTAACATGAGTTCTGCAAGCGATTTGGTTGGAAAAGAAGTTGGACTGTTGGGAGAAGCAGAAGCTCAGTTTCAAGCAGACAAAAATGCCACTTCTAACTTTGATAAAGAAGAACATTGTAGTAAAGCAGCTGATAAGAAGTCCACAAAAGAAATGCAGGATTGTTGTTTACATTCACCCAAATCAAAAAATGAGACAGTTAATGAAGAACTACAGGTGAGTAAGGGAGAATATTGCTGTAATTATCAAATGGATAGTCACTTGGAGCTGACATCGGATGTCCAGATGCTCCATTGCAGTACCACTACGTTTCAGCACCAGGCAGATCAGCATACAGGTAGTGTAAATAAAGACAGCAATCGAAGAAAAAGTGATACACAGAAAATTGCAGCAGCTATAGAAAGAGAGCAAAGCCCACAGAACTTTTTTGCCACTGTTGTTTTACCTTTTAATGAACAAATACCCACTTTACTTAGCATGGAGTGCAAAGGAGAAAAATGCATAGCCACGGGTAATCTAATGGCTACAATGTCATCTATTAAAAATGATGAAGATCTAGTCATGGACAGGGGGACTTGTAATGAAGAACTGGGTGAGTTAGGGAACCTACAAAATGATCACCAATTAATCCACATGGAGAATTCTAAGGATACTGCCACACAGCAGTCTGGTTTACCTTGTATGGAAACTGAGGGTGTGGAAACAACGAAGGTTTTATCTGAGGATGCAGTGGAAAACCTTGCCAATGTATCGTCACGCATACATGGGTGTGAAAATGTGAAATTTAACTTTGATGAGCTGACAGAACCTCTCTCTGCTACTTTCAAGTCATCTTTTGAAACTGGAAGCTATTGCTCACCTTCTCTTGATCCTAGTTGCAAGTCTGAAAATAAAACTATAGGGAAAAGAGAAGTCAGTGTAAAAGAAGTGACACAGACTGTTTCTCGTCCTGATCTTGAATATGAGAAGAGCAAATCCTTTCAACCTGTAGAGATGAGCCTCTCTGTTCCTGTCCATGACTGTGGTCCTGTCTCCCTTGAAACTGTTCAAGATGTTCCTGCCAAGGCATTAGCTACACTCATGGAAGATGACACAGCAAAGCCTGCACTTTGCCCTTTAATCGCCGTTAACAGAACAGACAATTGTATTCCTGCTCCTTCTAAAATCGACAAGACTGGTATGACTGAGGTTGCTCTTGTTTCTTCTGAGTGTAAAGATTGCATCTCTGAACTTTCCTCTCATAATTCTGAGTCACAAGAAGAAAATCTGGAGGTTTTTTATTCTGCCTTGAGATACGGAGAAAGACCCCTGAGCAACCATTCTGTTTTCATCTGTGAAAAAAACGTTAGTGTAGACAGCATTTCTGAATCTTCACCTGTTTCTGAAGATAGACTTACTAATTTTTCTTCCAAAAAGGAAAGCAGTCATAAGCATAGAATATCACCCATAGTACTTGATTCTTCATCTGACAGCCAAGGAAAAATGCCTTCTCCTGCCGCCAACTCTGAAAATGGTCAGACTGCTAGATGGTCTGCTGATTCTAAACAGGACAACCTTATTTTTCCAGCTGCTGAGTCTACGAGAATAATCCCTGAGGACAAAGTGACTGAGGTGTCACTTTGCTCAGGAGACCCGAGAGCTTTGTGCCCAACTGGTTGTCTGGAACCTGAGCTTACTCCAGCTGTGCTTGATTGCTCTGATGCTGGAGTAGATGTGTGGGGTGTTTGCATCCCCAGCCCCTCTTCACCTACTCTGGGATCCAGAGAAGCCTCTGACCTTTCCGTTTCTGCCTTGGAAACATTTGGCGTTGCTCAGGGGAACAGTCATTCCTCCACTCACAGAGCTGGCAAGACAGAGGTAATGCCATCACCCATCTGTCCTTGGACATCTTTGGAAATGACATCTGAGTCAGTGTGTACTGAGCATGTGTGCAGAAATTCTGTGGGACAGGTGAATCTTGGTAACTGTGCTTCTGCTATCTCGGAAGCCCCTTCTGCAGCAGATAAAACAGCTGCTGCATCTGCAGAGTCAAATGAGTTCTTTTCTGTGGAAGTACAGGAAGATACTGATATCAAGGGACAAGAATGTGCTAAATTCCAAGATGCTGCTGTTTTGTTTAAAAAAGCTGAGGAAATAGTGGACTCAGTTTTACACTTGGCTATAGAAGAAATCATAGCAAAACAAGCTGTCTGTGTCTGCCAGCTTTGTGGGAGCAAGGATGGTTTAATAAATACAGATATTCTAAATGATCAGAAAGCTGGAACTGTACAGCTGGAAGCAGAAGAAATCCAGTCAGCTGTGCAGTCATTAAAACATTTTAATGAGAGCAGTGGAGGAGGCTCTTCTTCATTTACAGGAAGTGAAACAGTGGATACAAATAATCAAGATGAAAAGATACTATCTTACATCCCTGATAAAATTGACCTACATAGTGTACTAGCACTAAAAGCAAAAGAAATAATTGATGAAGTAATTAACTCAGCCAAACAAAAACTGGCATCCAGTCAGTGGCAAGGCAATGAGAATAAAATGCCCTCTGAAAAGATTGAGCTTAAGGCTGAAAGCCCAAATATTTTAAACCTGGATATGAAGTTAGCTGCCAAAACACAGGAACCAACAGAGAAGGCAGAAACTCAGAGTGTGGCTGTAAATTGTGAAAAGGCAGATGGCTCAGGTCCTCCTTTACTTCCAAATAGTATGGAAAATGGCATAGATTGGCCACAAAGAGGTGAAAAGACACCAAATAATGCATTTGCATGTCAAACAAATGGATTTCTACCCACTGGTAGTTCAGCAAGGCCAGAATCAGATCTTATGACACCAGCTGAAGAGAGACATGATAGAAAGGTGTATGAATATCTGGCTGCAGCAGAGTTGTGTGGCAAAGCTGGAGTATCAACAGCTAGTAGAAAATCTGATGGATCTTTAAATTTAATACATAGAGATGCTACTGTCACTGAAGAGATGATTCTGTCATTGCAGTTAAAAGATGCATGCAATAATACAAATATGCCAGAGTGCACATTGCTGCCAACTGTAAATGTTAATTTGCCATCTTTCATGCCTGATGAAGAATGTATCACCGCACAGAGTGAATCTGAAGACCAAAGCAGTCCTTGGGGTTCTCTGGAAAGCAGTGCAGGGGACGATCTGTATGAACAGTGCAGAAGAGAGGCTGCAGAAGTACCTGCACAAGTACAATCATCCTTAGAAGATTCAAAGGCAGTGGAGCGTGAGGAGGAGCAAGCAGAAGGGGCAAGTGAGATAGCAGAGGTTAAAAGTGGATTAAATACACAGTTCACTGTACCTGAATTGTCTGTTGTTGGAGAGGACAGTGAAGGAAAAAACTGCTTCAATGCAGTCTTTTCCCAAAATAATGAAAATCTGAAGCAGGTACAAATGAAGGATCAAGACATGAAGAGAAGTGATCAGCTTGAAGAAAATGGTCAGGACTGTAGTGATGACATGAGGGATTTGACAGATCTTTTGGCCTTTTCTCCACTAATTGAACAGTGGGAAAACAGTTCTTTTACTATAATTTATGAAGGTGCCCTTCAAACTGAGAACAAATCTGTCTCAACTGGTGATATGCAAACTGATTCGCTTTCTTCTTCTGTTCTGCCTTTGGATAATATAGATGATGTAATGTGTGAAAGAGCAAAGAATAAACATGAGCCAGCCTGTTTTTATGGGAAGGATAACAAGTTGAATGAAGCAACAGATAGCAGTAGTTCGGAGTCATTTTTGAGTGTGGAGGCCAAGCGCTATAGAGTATATCCTTTCTCTTTGTCTCCAATATACGAAGACGACAGCTCCCAAGAAGACTTACTTTCCACAGATGTGTCACCGGAAGGCCATCCTAGTGGAATACCTAAAGATAACGCAGACCACACTTCTGTGCTTTCCCTTCTTCAGTCGGTTTCTGAGCGCTTACAGTTTACTACTCAGTTCAGTAAAGAGGATGAGGAGGGAATGGAGGACGAGGAGGAGGACGAATTGTCATATGAAGAAAATGTACTTGATACTGAGAGAGAAGAAGAATATCTTTCCAGTCAGTGGAGAGGGGACTTAAAAACAACCCTTCAATCAAGTGACCAAAATAGATCCTTGTTTCCTGAACAATCACCTCTTCTTTCAAAAGAACAGCTTGATTCGAAGGAGCAACCAAAACTGTTTCCAGATGTGGCTTCTCCCAGTCAAACACCCTGTAAGCCAGTTTCACAGAAAGCTGATGCTCCTATAAAGCGTCCTCCTACAAGTGTGTACTACCAGTATTTGAAATCTGACAGCAATTGCTCCTCTGAGAAGGGGACCAGGTTTGGGAGCATTCTCCAGGATATGTTGCAGCCAAAGATTCATTGGTTTCAAGACAACACCATGCCAAAACTGGGAGAATTGTCAGTGGTAAGATGTCATGTCACATAATATTAATAATCAAAGTGATTAGTCCAGATTCAAAATTACTGTCTCCCTATTCTCCTTCCTCCCTTCTTAAGGTTAATTCTTTTATCATAATCAAAAGTAATTAGACTGTTTAAGATCATAGTTTAAAAAAAAAAAGTCTTCTGATAAAATACTTTTTAACACACAGTATTCTTGGTTTAGCACACAGATGTGACTTAATTGTAAAACAGATGATGTAAACAAAAAATATAATAGGAAAATACGCAAGTCTGTATAATAGCAAAACACAGATGTCCATGTTAAGGACATTTCAACCTGAAGATGATGGAATTGCCTTTTGTATGAAAATTGTTCTTTCATTTCTTCCCCTTCTGAGATTAGTAGAGGTGTGTTGTCCCCCAAAAAAATATAAATGTCTGCTTACTGGGCTGTTTGATTGTTTCATCGCAGAGTCTTCTACAAATTGTAGCTCAGTTAGCAAGTAAGTAATATAACTGCTTTTGTAGATCAGCATTTCTTTTTTAGTTTATTTAAAGCAATGGCAGATAAGAGTATGGAAACAGTTCTTCCAATATTTAGAAATTGAAAATGCCACACAGACCAAATGCATAACTGAAGAAGAAAGGCTTTCCATGATTTTGGGAATATTTCAGTCTGTGTTAGAGGTCTGTTTTGGTTTTGTCACTCTTAAGACATGCAGTTTATTGTTTTCTGGGAAAGGGTAATACACTTCCAGAAGTTACAACTTCCATAACTTCCTCTCTAGCACTTGCTGCTGGTTGGTTGATTCTGCTGAAACAACAGTGAAATGAATCTTGATTGTTTCTGCTAGAGACAGTTGCATACATTTATAGGAATAGTGGACCCAGAATAATGTCTATGCTTTGTGCTACTGTTGTAGAGGTTAACAGTTCTTTTCCATGTTCTTTTAATTTCAGAACCTCATTGACAGGACAAGTCTCAAATACAACCCAAGACCGGGAAAGGTAAACAGAATTTGTATCATAGAGGTCGATATGATACATGGAATAATTTGTTATACCAAAATTTTTGAATGGAAAACGTATGAAATTGTTAGTCTAGTTTTTCTGTATTTTAATGGTGCATATGCTTGTACATGCTGATAATGAGATTATAGTATTAAAAAATCCTGCCACTAGTAATTGTACTGTATTTCTGTCAGTAAATGCTGTTTTAGTTCAGTGGAGTGTTTCATAAAAGAAAATATGTAGCGTATCAGTTGAGTGGGCAAAAAGTGAAATATGTTTTATTCCAAGCAAAAAATAACGGTCTACATTGTATGTTGAAATGGGCCCTCATTCTTATGTATTGTACATTGTTTCAGATTATTATTTATGATATTTATGGCGACAAAAGTAAACAAGAAGTTCATTCTGATGTGCTAGATACCACATCCTGGATCTTTCCTATCGGAGCATTACTTAGGATCATTAGAGGATGGTAAGAAATCCAGGTCATATTTAAATAGAGCCTTTCCAAAAGACTGTATGTGTGTTTCTCTTGTATTTTCATTTCTTTTTATTTATGACACACGTCTGATCTGCAAGAGTGTCTTTTTCTTTCTTTATAATTAGACTGATACCAGTGAAAAAAAGCATGAAAAGGCTTCAAATGCTGCAGTACAAAAAACATATATTGTTTCTCCTGGGAACTAGCTTCAAACAAAGTTTCTAATAGAACCACAAGTAAGTTTAGACTTCTTGCCTGACATGCTGAGACAATACAGCCATAATCATCACTGGAAGCATGTGTATGCCAAAGAAAATGTCTTTTTTTACAGTTCAGTTTCATTATACAGTAGCTGTTGCAAAAGGGCCATAAAATGAACAGACTCAGATGCTGTTTGTAATGTAGCATTTAGAGGAATGTGGATGCAGAAGGATATACGAGTACCTTTAAGATAGATTTTGCAAGTGTTTCTTGGTTTGCTTTGTGAAGCTGGGGCTGGGACCATGTCAGTTGTCGCATTGGAATTTAATTGGTGGTGCTTACAGTGAATGTTTCTGACTGTCAGCCATAGTAACAATGCATGTCATATTTATGCCGTTTTGAGGCAGCCTTGTTTGGTTTTGCATACATTTCTTTTATGTCCTGAGAAGTACTGAATGCCATTATTAGTATTTATATGTTTTATGTGTTGCATAGTATCTGCCTGAACAGGACATGTTTTGATGTGTCAATTAATACATTTGTTAAAATAAGGCTTTTATTTACATTGTGGTTTAGCTGTGTTTTTATACAGTTAACCTTTTAGGTTTTGTTAGACTGAGTCCTGCAGGAGAACTGTGTGTTTTACTTTCAAAGCACAGAAGTACAAGCCCCGTATTTATCTAAAGCAAATGTGACTGCTCTGAGGGACAGCATTAAGAAAGGTCTGACAGTTGGCTTGATAAGAAGAGCTCATTACTGAGCTTTCCAGCTGTGTAAGGACAGTCTTACCTAACAGCAACAACTCAGTTCATGATATCATTATTACAGTTGGATTTTTTATGAGAAACCAAAGTTCCAGGGTCGGAAGTATGTACTAGAAGAAGGAGAGACTGTGCTGGATCACCTTTGGGATCTTCCAGGCGTGAAACATCTTCGAAGAAACCTCACAGTTGGTTCAGTCAAACATGTAACAAAGGTATAGACTTTGTTGATAATATATTCACATAGATAATTAATTTCTATTTGCGATACTGATGTATTACAAGCAATGGACAATGTGTGTATACTGTGTTGCTTTTATTCAAATTTGCAAAAAATTACATTTTTCACCTTCAAGATAAATGCCAGGGCTTTTGCTGCACTAAATTTCACTTTCTTCCTGAAGGCAATGAGCACATGGATGATGTTTCTCTGCCACCACCTTTATCTGACAGAGTGACTCCCCTCCTTTTAGATGTTTACCTGTCCAGTTAATTGGAATTAAATCAATTCATATTTTTCAGAGAAGTGTTTGTCTTAAGCTTGAAATCTCTACTGTGTCTGTATGGCTTCTGTTTCAGAAGTTAGTAGTTGGCTTTCCAATCCCATTGTACAGTGTAGCCTCCAAAAATTGCTGTTGCTCCCTCTACAGCTTTGTGCCATCTGTAGGGGATTCACATGGACAAGTGGTACACCTACAGCATCTGGCTCTTCATACAGACAGAAGTTTAAAAGGCATTTTGTTGAAAAGATAGGAATCAAATGCCTAAAACTAAATATAATGCATCCATTGTTATCCAGTGAATGAGGAATATATTTACCAGATCTTGTGATTTAAGATGACTTGGTACTCTTGTTGTTTAGCATAACATTCCAATTATTCACAGGGCAATGGCCCTTTATTGTGAGTGAATTATTTGTATCACAATGTGAAAGTTTTTCAGAAGAAGTGATATTTATCTGTTTTCTGCTGGTATAGACACTTTAAAATTGTTAACCTTTATGTCATCAGTACAGGGGCATAATGTCATTATATGCTAATGTCAACATTATATGTCATTGTCTGATGTCAAGAATTAGAAATACTTTTTCATTCTCTTAAAGACTTAACAATAAATAAATCACATTTTTCACCATCAAGATAAATGCCAGGGCTTTTGCTGCACTAAATTTCACTTTCTTCCTGAAGGCAATGAACACATGGATATCTTCCTCTGCCACCACCTTTATCTGACAGAGTGACTCCCCTCCTTTTAGATGTTTACCTGTCCAGTTAATTGGAATTAAATCAATTCATATTTTTCAAAGAAGTGTTTATATGAAGTTTAAATGGCAAGGCGTTTAAGTACCTTCAAAATAATAAATAAGTACCTTCAAAAGAGGCTGGCTGAGGGCATGAATAATGAAGTTAACATATATTTGAGCTAAACAAATTGAAAGCATTTGACCAATATGGAATATGAATATTGATCAATAATGTGGAAGGCAACTAAATAATTAAAGAAGTACCACAATAACATGTGGAACTATGGTCTGAAGCCTAGGGAAGCTGGGTGTGTCTTGGATATCAAAGAAATCCCTTGGACAGGAGAGGCACTGTGGTTAGCTTCATCATGCTTGATAAAAATCTTTGTAATACAGCTAAGTAGATTTGAGTGTTGTTCTTCTTCCAGTATGTGGTTCACTTGTATTGAACACAGATGGAAGGCTTTGTTACAGTAAATTAGTTCAGTAATCAACACTGTTTCTTGTGTAACTTAAACCTCTAGCAGGTATAGTTGGTTGGGAGGACTTTTGCTGTTAGTCCAGAGGGCTGTATGGAGATGGTGTGGGTGTGGAACTCTCTAAGCCAGGTTTTGTCCTCTAAACCTTGATTTGTGAAAGCATCCGTATTTTTTCAGGTTCTTCTAAACTTCTAACCTCAGCTGCTGTGGAACTACCTTTAGAAGGTAGTTTGCAAAAGTGCTACCTCATTTATTTATTTTTTGTGAAAAATGTAGGCATTGTTTTTAAGTGACAAATGACTGTTTCTTTTTGAGGCATCTTGTGTGTACGTTATCTGCCGGATTACATATTTTACTGTCATTCTGGTTTTTGTAGGCTGGATATAGCTTTTCCTCTGCCTGGTTTGGTCATACTGGCTGTGTGTCCAGTCTGTCTGGCTTGTCTTCTAATTCTTCAAGTGGCTTTTTACGGTGCTTGTTTAATGGCTGCTCAGATGCCTTGAGTTAGCAGATTCAAAAATTGGCTAAATATTTGAGAAGAAAATGCCTGGCCAAGAAGAGAAAAACAGATGTTTACTAAAGAAACTGTAGGAGGTGCATTTAATATTACTTTTATTTTTTTACCGGCAGATGTTAATTTGCTGAGACACAGTCTGCTGGTACCTTTGTCCTCTGATTTGGCTTCAAGCCTCCATAAAAACCAAAGGTTCTGTTAGCTTTGTGGTTAGCCTGTGGCTTGACTTACTGTGGATACACATTAGATGTATCCATGTGTGTTTAATTTGAAGGAAATTAGGAGAGAGGAAAAAAGATCCTAAAGGAACAGATCATGCAACTAGTAAAATGAAGACCCATTTGAAGTAATGGGGAGTCTGAATTCCACTAAGGCAAGTCAACATGAGCCTAGGCTAGCAAAATCTGCCTGCACATGCAGGTTCAGTGCAGCTTCTGCAGCACAGTCTGTTCAGCCAAGTCAGTTCTGTGGTCTGCTGCAAATGCATGTATTGATCTTACAGAACTGGAGGGCTTTCTGTTGGAGGGCTGTCTGTTTCTGGAAGCCCAAAGAGGGTGCTAAATGTTACTTTTTTCAAATCTTGTTTTTGGAAGAGTTGCTGATGTTTCCATTCTGGAGTAATCCCATAAACCACTGTTTTGCAAGGAGACAAGAACTGAAACAGCAGTTTATGATCTCTGTCTGCAAGATGGTTAGGCAGGGAATAGCTGGATTCGTTGTGGGCTCTCCTTAAGCAAAGCTCTTTGCAATGCGAATGTTCACAGTATTATATGAAGGGTGTTTTTCTTTTCTTTGTGTGGTTTGCTAGGTGAAAAGAAGTTGTAAGTTCAAGCAAGGACTACTTTGTCAGATGCTGTAGGAAGGCACCCAGCAGCTTCAGATTGTCTCGTTTGCTAGTTGGTATTTACAGGACAGTAATCGTTAATTTCTTTAATATTATTTTATTTTACTGCCAGCCCTTTTGAGTTCTGTAGTTTAGTTTGGTGGTGATGGGTGGCAGCAACAGTGGTACAGAGCAGGAGAACAGGAAGAATTATGAATGGGTACAAAAAGACTGGAGGACCAACAGAGAGTAAGATTTAAAATAAAAAATGCTGCAGAAGCTGGCATGTCCTAAAGACAAACTATGTATCAAAAGTAAGATGGGTGTCTAGACTGTATTAAAAAGCAATCATGTGAATACCAGGGCTAATTAGGCCTGCTATTCAGTATACTCTTATGTCATCGTTGTTTTGCCATTTAGCTTGAGACGACAGACTTTAGTCATTCTTTGTCCTGTTGTTGACATAAAAGGCTGCCTCATTTAAATAGGCTATTTTGATCATTTCTGTCACCACAGCTTACAGCTCCAAGGAGGAGACCTAACAGTGCTGAAATTATTTAGTCCTGCTCGTACTGTTAGGGCTGTAACCCTAGATTCAGAAGAAGGGTAAACAGCCAAGACCACCTTGAGGGGTTTGAAGGCTCTGGGTCTCTCACTTATGGTGGAGCTCTTGATTAGACTAGAAAAATGTCACATATGCCACTGAAGAGTAGTATTTAATGCTAAGGTCTTGAGGATTGTCTTATCCCTCTTCAGAAGAAGCCTTAACCTTGCCGCTGAGGGGTGTGTTGCTGTTTTGGAAGTGTCTGTTCTCTATGAGCTAACATGAATATTCCCCATGCTCTTGTAAACATCTCTGCTCCCCAGAAGACCATGAGGGAAGCACAGGCACTCCGGGATGACTGTGGGGAGGTAACAGGAGAGTACCGCAGAGTAAAGGAAGACAGAGTGGGATGCCTGGAGGCTGTGACCTACCTAAGCATCTGCTGGTTGCATATTATCATTGGAAATGAACGCAGCTACCTAATCTGTTTGCTGTGCTTTTTATTCTGTTTTTGCCTGACGTGTCAGAAGGATAATGAATATGGCATGAGTTTTGACTGCTTGTGATGGGGGTGGCAGGGCCAGGGGGTATAAGGAGGAAACTTTCCAGTTTTGAATCTGGCCTGAAACATTGTGGTAATAGTTTTGCATGGTAATAGTTTTGCATGTGGGTATCTTATTTGAAAATCTTGACGCCTTGCAAATGAAAGGGTTTTGGACTGAAGGATCTAGTTCTCAACCTGAATGCTATCATATTTGTGTGGTTTTTGTTTTGTTTCTAAAGATGGTGGCTTTATTAGGAATGTTAAAGAAGCCTCTGAAAGTAATGATGCCTATTAAATATGCTCAGGCAAATATGAACATGCTAGGACAAATATTTACCAAGCTAAAGTTTACATGCTTAAATTATATAAATTATTGGCATAGTACTTGAGTGTACATCTGCAACTACATAATGTTCACCTCATACAGTAATACTAAATTTTACCATTTTCTGCAGTCTGTGAATTAATATATGCAAATTGAACTCAATATTTAAGTGAAAATCTATATCTGTGATTTTTAAAAAATGTGCGTAGAAAATATAATGTACCTCTTGCACAAACATGTTATTACCTTTTAAAAATGTATATTTGAATTTCTTTTGATGAAGACCTTAGTTTGCTATGTGACATTTTTTGAAAGGACTTTGTGGACTTAATCTAGTACACACAAAAATACCATTGTAGTGAGTAGGGGGTGGGGGTTATGACTGTCAAAATCTGGCTGTAGAGAGGTGGTGATAAATAGGACAGATTTTATTATGAGTGCTTGTGTTCTCCCTGTCCTTTGGAGAACTGCTACATTCTTCATCTGTTGAGGTGCAGCCTGCCTCGTGAGCTTCAGAGTCAGGAAAGCAAACTTGAAAAGAGAATGCGGACTGACTTTTTGCAATCTTCAAATAAAAAAAAAAACAACCACCAAACTCCTACTGAATTAAAATTAAACATATTCCGTCTCATATTCTGTCTGAGCCCGCAGGCAAAGATACTTTATTTTGCCACTTGTCTAGTCTTGTAGGTACTTTGTTTCAGAATTTATCTGAAACCATTAAGAGTCTAGCATCATTATTTGTGGAATTCTTGTAGGTGCAACTTCTGATTTTCCGTATCTTTAGCTTTATTGTTGGATTTACAGATTTCAGCCTTCCCATGTGTCAGGAATTATTACAAAAAAACCCCGAACTTCAAATATTTCTTAACTGTGATTTAGTAAAGTACATATACATGTGAAAACTATGAGGAAACTTTTTTTTTAAAAACTTGTCTAGCAATACAATTAGAATTGAGGAATGGCCTTCCTTAGCACTTTGCTGTAAAGTAGCATTGTACTAGACAGTCTTTTTTCCTAGTTTTTCTGTTTTTGCTCCTCTGAAAATAAAAATTCTGTATTGCAGTTTTTGTTCTGAAAACAAATAATGTGCATTGTTTGCAAGGTACAATGCAGAGGAAACACTCTTGTGCGTGAGGGAAAGTTGCCAAAAAAGTATACTGTGTTACTTCAGGTCTCATGAGGAAAGTGAAATAATATCCTAAATCCGTCTATTATAATTACCACATTTATTGCTGACAGTTAAGTAACTACTGAAGGAAGTTTGCTGACCAGGAAGAGGTGTGTTTCTAGGTGGGATGTTACTCCATCGTTTGAAAGCTCCATTCAACCTATATGAAAAGGGAAAGCATGCAGGTCTTGTCATGAGATGGGACGCTGTAACTTCAAGCGCTTTCGTGCCCTGATCCTGGGTTTCTCTGCAGGCTCTTGTGTTTTGCCTTTTGGGTCTGGCTGAAGCTACAAGCTTTGTGGGATCTCTGTAGTGATGTGACCCTGCCTGCGTCTTCAGCAAATCCAGTAACCAGGTGCTTCAGCTAAGGGCACCCTCAGGTCTGGCTTCTCATCCCGATTCTCTAGTGCACATGCAAAGGGCATCTTCTCCAGCCACGTTTAGGACTTTTGGCATCTCTTTTATGTTGTCCAAGCCCTTTGGCCTGTACTGTTCTTTTTCTTTCTTTGTCTAAATTGCTGTAGATTTATTTAACATGACAGAAAATTGAACTCGTGTGGCTTGAAACTGTAGCTGGATGCATAACAGAACCTATTTATCGAGGGCGGAAGGCAGGAATGAAGTAGTAGACATTTCTAGAATGCCTGTACACGCATCGTATGTATCTATATGTGTGTTATGGAAGTACTATCTTTAAAATTAAAAAAAAAAACAGTGGTGTTACATGGCGTGGTTTATCTATCAGTAAATACTGTCAGATCCTTTATTTAGAGAATATTTAACCTGAGTTTTTTGAAGGTATCCCAACAGGCATAAATGCAGAGTTTTTCTTTGAAAGCTAGTAGGAGCTGGAAATTAACTTCCCTTAGCTTTTTCTAAAAATCCCAGTCATCATTTACAAAGCAAAAAACATTGTATGAAGCCTGGAGTTAGATTAGAGGGGTGAGAAGACAGGGGAAGAAGGAGGAAAAAAACATTACTCATCCTTCCCCCACTGCAATGGGGCAGACTCTGAAAGCATGGATAAGCCTTACCCTTTGATTTCTTTCCACAGGACTGTGGCGTTCCAGAGGTAGAGTTCTGCCTGGGAGCCAGAACTGAGGGACCTCCTATCTGCATACAGAGTGCAGTTGCCAATTTAGAAGAATTGGATGTTGAGAAAAGCCCTTATATAAGTGTCAAATCAGGAGTGTGAGTACTGAACCTTTTTTGTAGTATTGTGCCAGCAGGTAGGATAATCCATTTCATCATGGATTGAAAGTCAGTCGGCAATAGGAACAATCCTTGGGGGTTCTGCTGTACACTTCAGCATTGTACTACATGGGCTCGTAGCAGTGGAACCAAATTTTTGGAGGCATTTTCCCTCTTAATTGCTGGCAGAAGTCTTCTATAGTTCCATCTTCAAGTATCTTTATAAATAGAAGCAGCAGCTCAGCTATAATTAGCTTTTCGTTCATTGGAGAATAGATACTGTCTCCCTAGTCACCCCCCTGTTATAACACTGTGGCTGAATATCAGAAAGTTAGTGTTACATCATCCAAGCATTCCTCAAGCTACAGCTATATCCTGACTTTCTGCAAAGAGGTGATGCAGTATGATATAGACCTGCTCAGTAGCCCAGCATTTCCTGTATTGAGCAGAATAGCTTGTTTCCTGGGTAAATGGCTAACACTTCACGGTTCCTGAAGTTTGGGAATGCTGTGCCTCTTCTCATAAATCATTGCAGAATGACATCAGCTGTTCTGTTAAAAAGAGTCTTGCATTTGCCTTTCCATGTGAGCTGAGCCTTCTTTCCCATGATCTTACAATATGTATGTGTAGCTTGAGGTGGTGAAGGAATTATAAACTAATTTTTGTTTTGGTAGAACTTAGTCTAACTTTTAGCTGCTTATAGTGTATGTAGTTTCAAGAAAGTAATTTTCTATACAGCTCAATGCCTCTTCCTCCATTCCTTATTTGGTCTACTAACCCTGAGTCCAACTTCTAGAATTCAGCTTGCATTCTGATTTAAAATAGTCTGAAGGAGTCTCGGCATTTTAAATCTTCATGTCAAAATTATGATAGCCTGCTTTCCACAGGAGTATTGTAAATGATCAATAATTTCTACTGAAAAAAAATGAGTGAGGTTGATGTTAGAAGCCTATTAATTCCTAAGGTGGGAATCCTAGGTAAAATCTGCTGCAAGTGTCTCATTGTCAGTACTGGCATTGGTTTTGTATACTCAAAGTGTACAAACAGGCTTATTAAACTAAATTAACAAATTGGTAATTTTCTGCTCCTTTATTCATGTTTAGCTTGGATTGAGAAAAAGTATCTGAGATCTTCTTAGCATTGATGTTGCCAGTGCATTTAAATAGAGCATGGTTTTGATGTGCTGGCAGTATCTAAAACATTGTCTATCTCTGAGTACAAAAAGAAAAATAATTTCACTAAGATCATTGTATTTGTAATGTATTTGATGAAATTAATAAGTCCTTTATCCTTATGGTCATAGATGGCTTGCTTATTCAGACTTTAATTACAAAGGAGAGATGAAGGTTTTGGAAGAAAGTGATTCACCGTCTGAAATTCCTTCAGCAGATGTGAAATCTCTGCGTCCCTTAAAAATGGTGAGAACTTCACAATTCCCTAATAAGTCGTGTGTCTTCCTTTTCCTACCGTTGCTCCCCCAAAGGTTTTGATCTAAATATAATTTAGGTTCTAACATCCTTTCAAGGTTAATCCTTATACATGTTAACACTTCTGTCATGCCACAGTGCATTTGCAGTGTTGTAATGGCACAGCAGTTGCTCGTTCCAGGGCTTGCTGGGCTCCTGCATCTGCCCAAGTAAGAAGACGTAGTCAGAGCACCTAATTCACTAGGATGTGTTCCTGAGGAACTGCTTTTGTCAAGTGGAGATCAAATAAGACAAAACTGAAAGACTCGTAATTGTATTGCAAACAACACCAATTCATTAACTGAAAAAACTCTTCAGAAGTTGTTGATTTTCTTTTTTAATGGTACGGCTAGAGTCTGCTGGGGGTAGAAGACCAGGTGAGGAGTTTATTATTGAAAAATACCCAGTAGTATTCTTGTGATCACACATTGCACAGAAATCTTGGGAGGTGCAGTAATTTTTAGTTTGATAGAGAGCATGTAGATCTAAACATGAAAGAGCTGTAGAAAGGTATAACACACAATTCTACTGTATGCGTAGCAAGTCTATAGAAAGAGAGTTTAAAAACCATAAAGGATAAAACCTAACAGGTGTCGTCTTAGCCGCTTATGGGAGGTAGGTGTGTTATTTCCCCTCAGAACATCATTCACTAACATTTCCAGAGAAAATGCATTTGTGGTATTTGCTCTTTGACCATGGACATGAATATGTCATCCTATATTTTCTGTCTCTTCTGGTGTTTATAGTTTCTTAGTGTTTCATCATTTGTGATTAAGAAACTTGAAATATGTACAATACAGCTGTAAAAGTTACATTTTAAAAACTGGTAAATGTAAATTAGCTCAAAACCACATAGTAAATACTTGCTTTAGAGTGCTAATAGACAATGAAGGAATATTTTAAAATTGCTTGCACTCCTACAGGTTTGTCAACTCACTGGTTTTGTTTGTAGGTCAGGTTTACAGTGTCCCTGACCTTTATGAATTACCAGAGTATTTAAACTAGTTTTTGATTTGTCCGACACTGAAAAGGGTGAATATAATTACAAAGCCTTCATATTCTAATAGTACTGTACGGTAGGTGTCAAAGCATAACTTTAAGTTTTATATAAATACTTTCCCCCATCTTTTTTCAGGGTGGACTAAAGGTACAAATGCCAATGAACGTCAAGGTAAGCACTGAGGACACTGAGAATAAAATATAAGCACACTGGAAATAAAAAAGCTGTATTTAGGCTGTTTTCTTTTTGTTGGGTGTGTGATATTTGATGAAGTATTCAATGTTGGCTGCTGAAGGAAAATTCACTAATGCTGTCAAGTCCACTTTCTTACTAGTGTTTCATGAGATGTAATAGTAGTAGTTTGTTTCTATGTGTTAGGAGAATGTGTATTTGCTATATAAGAATTGTAAAGCTTTTACAACATAAAATTAGTTTTCCTGACTGGCACATCTGTCACTATAATAAAAAGGGGTCAAGAGAGATTTTTCCCATTCAACATACCAAGTTTAAAAAAAACGGGGGGGGGGGGGGGAAACGGGGGGGGGGGGTGGCAGAGGGAGGAAGGGCAGGAATAGGACCCTTCTTTCCTATGCCTGATCCCAGTACAAGAGTCATGAGTGAGACCGTGACCCTTCTGTGATTTGAGGAGCAGAAAGCAGAGTTATTGCTCCTTTTCGTTCCTTTTTCTAGTTCTCCACAAAAGTACTAATGTTTTAGGTAACTTTTAATTACAAAAATACATGCAAAACTCAGGAGTTTTTCTAATAAATACTGCGATAAATATTAATACTATTAATAGCTGATCTGTGTGGTTTGGGAAATGAGGAACCCAGAGAGTGTGTTAACTGCAGTCACTGAAAGGACTTCAGCAAAGTACAGAGGAAGACCTCTTGTCTAGTTTTGAAGAGTTAAGTTCTGTGTGTCTAGATGTGACCAGGTAGGATTCACTGCAGGCTAATAAACGTTGCCCAGGCACAGTATTACAGGATAAACCACAGCTATATAGCTGAAGAGTGCAATTATATATATATATAGAATTGTGTGAATAAGTATCCTTCTTTGGATATGTCTGCAAATAGCTTGACAAGCCTATCTAAATCCAAATAGGGTCTCTGCAGCTTCTAGGGCACTCAAGAATCAGAAGGGCTGAGGAATGCAACCCTCAATTTTCTTCATAGTGGTGGCTTGTTGGAGGGGGGAAAAAGGCGTCTTTCACATTACTGTAGCAGTACACATACCCAACGTCAAATTACTGTTCAGGACATACTCAAGGCATTGTTCAACATCATGTTTTCTAGCTAATAATATATGAAAAAAACCACTTTGAAGGATGGTCCAAAGAGTTTTCAGAAAACATCAGTTCTGTCCCAGTTCTGTTTGGTAGTGAAGAGAAGGTTCAGGAAATTGGATCAATACGTGTAATTGGTGGAGTGTAAGTATATTTCACTTTTGTATTTATTTACTTTAAAATAGGAAATCATAACTAAATGCTAAGAAATGTCAACTAAATGATTAGTTGAGATTAGAATCTCACTGGTAAAATATTTTGAAAAGAAAGGAATATGTATTTCTCTTGTCAGTTACCAGCCTTGGATAAAACAGCCTCTCTATATGGCTTACCTATCTAAAGGAGTGTAGGAAGGTAAAATTAAGTGTGTGAGAGGTGTTAAGTGTTTACCATTTGGATGCCAGGTAAACTAGGCCACTGTTTCTTAATGACAACAGTCACACAGAGCTTTAATTTATATTGCTTTAAACTTCTGATAGTCTCAATTTACTGAAATGACCTTAGATAGGAGTGGTCAGTCTTCAGTTTGACATTTTAATGCCTCTGAAATCTATAAACTGTTTTCTTGTCTTAATGGTTTTCCTTTGCCACCTCTTGCATGTTATCTGGAATTAGGAATCCACCCTTATTTTCCTTTGTTGAGGCCTCAGATTGATTCTGTGTTGCCCTGCCCCTCTGTCTGCCATACACAGGCACAAAAAGAGCTGTGTAACACTGTACTTAGGTGGGCTGCTCACGAGGTAGGCTCAAGCACCAGCTATTCAAGAGAGCTACCAACCCCTATGCATTGTTCTTTAAACCGCTCCAACAGAATATGACTGTTTGAAAGCGTGCAGGATGGTTGCTTCTTCCAAAGAGCTTAGCAATAAAATAGTTTTTAGAAAGTTTTGTTTTTTCTTAGAGCATTTCAATGTTAGTGGTTCAATATAAAGATTCAGTAACATATATCCTTTCAGGCTGTTGTCAGAATCTTACAAGCACTAAATTAAAAATCAACTTAATTGTGAATACAGACCAATCTGTTCATAAATACATTATCTATTAGCTATCTGGGAAACCTCAAATTATTAAAAATCATCTTTCTGTCTGTTGTGGTGGCTTTTATTTTTAATACTGCAGTGACTTAAACAGCTGAGTTAATGTAAACCAAATGGTACTAAAAGTAAAGCTATCCATGCCTGTCAAATTTCAATGCTGACAGAACTTGTACAGCAGTTCTAATACTTACAAGAAAGTTTTAATAAAATAAGTGCTTACAAGAAAGAAAGAAGGAGAGGGAAACATTTTTTCAAATTAAGTTCTATTAGAACTTCCAAAGTTGATGTGGAAATGCATTTTTTTAATCAAGCCTTATCTATTTGTTTTAAATACTTTAAAAAGTTTTATTTTCTTAGTGCTAAAATATATTCCACATGCAATATATATATTCAATTCACTTGTCTATTCATATATATGTTTGTAGATTAGAGCAAGAAAAAATACAAACAGCTGAAATTTTGTTCTGCTGAAAACTATTAATTTTGTCACCAGGTCCAGCAAGGGTAGAATATTGTCATTTATTAATACACTGAAGAGACCTACTGTTTGGTTTTTCTCATTGGCAATTGGTGGTTTATGGTGTTTTGGCCACTAGATGCGTATTAGTGTCTTGTAGTATGAAGTATTGGTATTGGGAACATGGCTGACTGAGAGGAGGTACATTGAGCAGCGTTAGACAAATAAGCTGTTGTTGGAGAAGGAATCACAGGGTGAGATTTTGATCCACAAAGAACACTTTATGGGTCCCTGTTGTGATTTCAAACAAGCATTGCTTTGTTTGTTAGCTGAGTCTGTGATACTCATCTTAGTGTTCTTAGGATGTTCTCTTCCCCTTTTATTTGTTACGGAAAATCATGTGTGCAGTTCTGCTTTTAGTTATTTCTCTTTTGTTGTGTGGTTGCTTGTAGATGGGTTGCCTATGATAAGGAACGCTACAAAGGCCGTCAGTACTTACTGGAGGAGGGAGATTATGAAGACAGACACTCGTGGGGGGGAACTGACAGTGTTCTCCTGTCTTTCAGGTTCCTTCAGGCAGTAAGTACTTTTATAATTTCACACACATGATGCACAGTTCTGTAGATAAAGAGGACATATGGTACATGTGGTACATATGGTACAGCTCTCTTGGGTTTGGTCATTCCATCTTTTGCCCAAGTTCACTTTCATTCTTCTACTTACTGAAATTTAGACTGCAGTGTATGCATTGTAAAGCAGAAGCGTGTTCTAAATAGCCTTTGTTAAGCTCCTACAAAGAATGTAGCATGCAGAATTCCTTGTTTCCCTGCCAGATTTTCCAAGTATCTCACTTCTGCACTTCAAGCTGTTTGCATCTCTAAAACAGAATTTTCTTAAAAGTTTAATGTGCATAAGTATACAGTGTAGTTCTTTATTAAAATAAAAATAGCTTTTCAACACAGCAGCTGTTGCAAGCCTTAAAATAGCATTACCCTCTGTCTTTGTGATTTTTGTGACAGAAAATTTTGGCAGCAAAAATAATCATGGTGAAAAAATCCCTGCTACCAAAATGTGCTTAGTGGGGGCAAAGATTAAATAATAATAAAAACTTCATCAGAGTCCAGTATTGGAAGGAAAATCAAGACTTTTCAGTGATGGGGAAACACGGGATTAGAACTTCCTTATCATTTCCTTTGGTTTGGGGTTTTGTTTGTTTGTCGGGCGGGTTGAGGATTTTTTTACGATAATAGGAACTCTGTGAGCTTTAAATACAGCTACAAAGAGTGGCTCCTTCTGAGAATTAGACTGCTCACTCTTGAGATTACTTAGTATTGTATGCTCAGATTACTCACCTCATTTGAGGACATGTGATATTCCTGAGCCAGGAATTTTGTGAAGTTTGAAGATAGATGTTTAGGGCAAACTTATTGTCTCACCAGTCATTATTCAAAGAGGGGGTGGAAGGATTAATGTGAACCCAAAAAGACCATGCTTAAATTCACAATTCGCAGTTTTTATTTTTATGAAAGGCACCTAGGAAATGCTATATTTATAATCGGAATGTGTCATAGAACTTAAAATAAAGATAGCGGAATACACTGAATTGAAGAAAAATGTCCTTTTCTAAATAATTTCAGGTTTCTGAGAAAAAAGGCAGAAATTTTCTTCTAACTTCTCATTTTATATGTGCAGAATCCTGTTCAGTTACTGACTAATCTTAGTTTTTCTTTCTTTTCAAGCTATACATAGGATACTTGAGTAACTTAAATTGATCTTTTAAAATCTTCCTCTTAGCAAAGGGCATAATTACAAGCTTAAAATTGTGCACGTGCCTAGCAGGGAAGACCTTCCATGTATATGCATGTATTTAATTTGACTCACACCTAGAACAATCAGGATGCTCAAGCCATTAACATTTGACAAACGTGTATCATTCACACTCATATATCAACATATATGATTAAAAGTGGCATATAAATATACCAATATTGTACATATTGATAATAAAAGTGTAAGTAATACCTTTCCTCAAATTGTAGCATAACTAAAGGCAATGAGCTAGTTGCCAATAAAATGACTAATGGCACTGGCTTGACCAAGAGATTGACCACCTCTCTCTGATGTGCAATCCATAGGTCAGTGTTCAGGCTTGCCATATGCTCCCTTTGTGACTTTGTATACAATACTTAAGGTCAGGATTTTAAAAACATTTTAGTACCAAACTCTTGTTTTCAAGGGGACCTGAGCAAAAATCCAAAACTAGTTCTCTGTGCTTAAGGCTCCTCATGACACAGCGAATATACTAGCTCTCTTCCATAATCTCAGAAATTCTGTCAAGAGGAGTGATGTAAAGTTTGCGATGGTCTCAGACTCTGGGGGGGTGTTCCTGGATACCAGATCTTTATTGCTCTTCCCTAGAAATTCTGTAGACGAATTCAGGAGTCTCTGTAGAAGATTAAGGATTTTGAGAAACGTAGCCAAGTTGCATTATTCATGTTCAACTTAGGTAGGGAGTCAGGCTGGGCACTGGCCCTGCTCTTTACACGTACTTATGGCTGTGATTTTATGTACGGACCAATCCAGCTAGACTTTGTTTTTTTTCTCGGGCGTGACACCAGGTGACCTTGACTGTGTTGGCTTTAAGACCAGCCCAGACCTGAACACAATTTAGCCTGGCTTACATGGCATGAAGCTGAAGCTAATAAGCCTCGTGTACCCGAGTCAGCTCCAGGCAGAGTCGGATCAAATGTCTTTGTGCCGTGCTCCCAAAGCAAGGAGCATGGTACAGAAGCACGTAAATGGCTCTGTAGAGAGCCAGGCTGGGTATGGCGTGCCTCATTAGCCTGTGTCAGTACCGGCTCTGTCAATGTGGCTTAGAACTATGCAAAGCTATTCAGATGTTTTTGCGCCATGACGCTCAACATGACAGGTTCCACCAGAGCTTATTAGTGCTAGGAAAATCCAGCTCATGTTTCTGTACACATACCAGTGACTGCAGTTGAGCTGAGGCATGAATTTAATTTTCTGACAAATCAGAAAGGTTAGACATCGCACACAAAAGAGGGATTTTTGCAAGCCACCCCTCCCCACCCACTGGTGAATATGTACATGCATGTAGGCATACTGCAAGAAATTGCAGTTTTTGTCTATCTTAAATATTTCTGCTGTGAACAGTCACAAGCTCTAATGTGGAGATTCAGGGAGTGTTTTGAAAGAAGAGATAGAAAGATCTTTTAGAATTGTATTTTCCAGCGTACTACCAGCTCTGTGGTCAGCATCTACATTGGACGGACTGGATGGACTGGAATCAAATACAGGGCATGTCGCCGAGGGAGGAGAGCAGTTTGTACCGTGTGCTGGTTTGGGGGACAGTTGCATTTGCTTCTTTTCTGCAGTGCTAAATGAGAGAACCTGCGAAGCTGGGGCTTGCCTGTGACTGTTGTGATCAGGGAAA